TCAAGAACTAAATAAAGTTCAAGAACAGGTTAATGAACCAGTTCCAAACCAAATTGAACAACACCAGATCCAACACAAAGTGAACGGGTTGTACAAGTACCTCTTCGAAGGTCTACACGAGAATGTCATGTACCAACTAGATTAAATTTAATGGTACAAGATGATGTATCAAATGAGGTTGATCATAATGATGATGACCCTAAGACCTATGAAGAGGCTATACAAAGTTCTAATTATGAGAAGTGGCAAAAGGCCATGGAATCCGAAATGGAATCCATGAAGGTAAATAAAGTATGGACTTTAGTTGAACCTTCAAAGGATATAAAACCTATAGGTTGTAAATGGGTTTTTAAGAAAAAGATTGGAGCAGACAGAAAGGTGGAGACCTACAAAGCCCGTCTTGTTGCCAAGGGATATCGTCAGAAAGAAGGAGTCGACTACGACGAGACGTTCTCTCCCGTGGCAATGCTCAAATCTATTCGGATTTTGCTTGCTATAGCAGCATACTATGATTATGAAATATGGCAAATGGATGTGAAAACAGCTTTCCTTAATGGTGAGCTAGAAGAGGATGTGTACATGACCCAACCTGAAGGTTTTACATCTTCGTCAGATCATAATAAAATTTGCAAGCTACAAAGATCCATTTATGGACTAAATCAAGCTTCTCGAAGTTGGAATATTCGCTTTAACAAGACAATTAAAAAGTTCAATTTTGTTAGATACGAAGAAGAACCTTGTATGTACAAAAAGGTTAGTGGGAGCACAATTATATTTTTGTTGTTGTATGTTGATGATATATTGCTCATAGGGAATGACATACAGGCATTGCAAAGTACCAAGATTTGGCTATTTGAACAGTTCTCCATGAAAGACTTGGGAGAAGCAGCTTATATATTAGGAATAAAGATCTATAGAGATAGATCTAGGAAGCTGCTTGAACTTTCCCAGTCTTTGTACATTGATACCATCTTAAAGAGGTATAATATAGATAATTCCAAAAGAGGCTATCTACCGATAGGCACTAGAATCACTCTCAGTAGGGAGGATTATCCTAAAACACCTGAAGAGAGAGAAAGCATGAGTAGGATCCCATACGCTAGTGCAGTGGGAGCTATCATGTATGCCATGACATGTACACGTCCTGATGTGGCTTATGCACTTGGAGTGACTAGCCGATATTCGGCAAATCCTGGTGAGGAACATTGGAAGGTGGTGAAGACCATTCTTAAGTAATTAAGAAGGACTAAAGACCAATTCCTCATCTATGGGGAATCTGAGTTGAACCTTGAAGGTTAAACTGATACAAGTTTCTCTTCAGATAGAGATGATAGCAAATCTATTTTTGGTTATGTATTCACCTTAAATGGTGACGCAGTGAGTTGGAAAAGTTCCAAACAAGCTACAGTAGTTGATTCAGTGACTGAAGTAGAATATATAGCAGCTAGTGAAGCTGTATGGATGAAAAAGTTCTTAACTAAACTTGGTGTGGTTCCTTTGATAGAAGGTACAATTCCATTGTTGTGTGACAACACTGGAGCCATTGCTCAAGCAAAAGAACCAAAATCACACCAAAAATCCAAACATGTTCTGCCAAGGGATCACTTGATAAGAGAAATCATTGGACGTGGAGACGTCTAGATTCAAAAGCTTGATGGAAAGGAAAATGCTCCATACCCATTCAATAAAGCTCTTGGTGCAAAGGAGTTTGACAAGCGCAAGTGAAAATTGAGAATGAAGTACAAGAGCGATTGGCTCTAGTGCAAGTGGGAGATTGTTAAGGATATAGTAGATATGCCCTAGATCCAATCTCATATTTGATGATTTGAACATATTTTTGTGAACGTTATTTTATATAAAAATATATGGCATTCTTTTATCATAGTTATTATTAATTGTTTGATTAATTTGACAAGGTCCTTGATTAAATTTTGAGACTTGTCATCGTGATAGAGATAATGACAATGAGAGCAAAGTCTCTTACAACTTAATCTAAATTTGTTCTTGATCGTAGGATTATTAATTTGGACATTAGTAATTTGGTTAGATCAATATTTATGTGATCGTCTTTATGGGATAAAGATTAGTTGATCTCATTAACTAAATCACATAGATAGATGATGCATATAGAGATATGATCATTGAACCGACTCATTGGATAATTCCTAATGGTTAGAATTACCATAAACTGTCAATAGGATATTCTCTTGAAGAATGTGATGTAAGAGTTTCCTTTGACCTGAGATCGTCATAGTGATTGACAAGTTATTTATTGTGCTTTGATACTAGACACATATGGCCCTAGGGCGATAGTTGAAAGGATATTGGGTATGATTAAATACTTGTAGAATTAGTGATAGATCAAGATGGAATCTGTCAACTCTTGGTAATGCGTTTAAGCTCCATGTTGTCATGAATTATAAACGACCAAATTATAAGCTCCATGTTGGTCGCCTATTAGGATTTGACAGTTGAACCATATCCTAGGGTGATCCAGAGCTATATTCTTCTACTTGTTCTTGAGAGTAAATTATATACTTCATATTATCCGGTCGTTAAGGAGTGTTGCTAGACGCCACTCTCGATTAGTATATTGATGTGATCAATTTACTACCGGTTTAGTATTGAACCTATGTGGTCGTACACTAACGAGTGTTCTGATCTTTGCTAAAGGATTAATTAACTTATTATTTGATAATTGAATTAAAGAATTTAATTAGTCAAATAAATAAAGTTGTTAGTCCAAAAGAAATATTATTATACTCTTTGCTAGCACAAAGATTATAATTAATATTGTGAACGAATTGAAGTTCTTTATTTGGAATAGAAAATTAAATTATATCTCTTGGTTGAAATATATATGTGATATATATAATATAAAATAATATTAATTTATATAAAAGGTATGTATATTATATTAGTTTATCCTCGCCAATTTGGAATTGGAGATGAAAGTCCACAAAGGACTCTGGCATGCACGTGATTCCCATTAGGAATAGGATATATATTTCCATTGGAAAACTCCTATATTGTTCAATTTGGAATTAGAATTGTAATACGTGAAAGTCCAATGTTGAATTGGACGAATAGGCATGAAAGTCCAATTGGACTGGGAATAAAATACCTTCAGTCGCGTTACCCTTGGGAACGTGATTCGATTTCTTCCTTAAAGTTTATTTTTTGAATTAAATTTTTACTCTAAGTAAATCATTACTTCAACCAAATAGGAAAATGGTTTGTAGGTGATGCTATATAAAGGGTGATGGAGAAAATTTGCCGCATAATTTTTTCTTGAGAAGAAAACCCACTTTGTGAAAGTGAGAGTGCAATACAAAGCCAAGAGAGAAAATACAATTACAAGAAAAGTGTTTCTTGTTCTTCTAATTTGAGTTGAGATTTTTGAGAAAAATTTCAACACAATACTCTTCGTTCAATTTATTCGCAGGTTTCGTTGATCAAAGAGTTGATAGCAAGGATCAGTCTCGGTATGGATATGCATAGAGTCTTCGCACTATCGAAGAATTTGAAACGAGACTTTCTTCACCAGGTACGTCTTAGATCCGATCTTTAACATGTAAATAAATTTTAAACACGAAAAAATCTGCCTAGGATTGTCATTGTCTTCCGCTGCGTATTACGAACACCTATACGCAATACTTCATAATAGACTAGCTTACTATACGACGTTTTGGGGTTGTTTTACTGTCTCTGCCGTACCCTAGAGACACACACAATAGAAGAAGTCTGTAGTGATTGTAAATAATCGGATGATGTTGGTGGCACTTGCTGAATCTCCAAAAAACTATGATCTTGATGATGCATGTATCATTTGGTATTTAATTGGAGGAAGACATTGCTAGACATGTAAACAAAATCTTAAATTGAATATTGATAAGATAAAAAGGTTAAATTTAAGGTATGCAAACTAAATTGAAGTCTTTTGGAAGAAACTATGCAAGCTCGCTCAAATCGAACAACATTAGTGCATTGACTGATTTGAAGCGCATATCCTGCCGACCGGCTAAGCTATCCGAATCATTACCATCTTGTCGCCTCTTTATTTGAGGATGCACTGCACACGTTTAGGGAGTGCAACAAAGTAGCCCACGAATTATCCAGGATAGAAGGAGGTGATGAAGTGAAGAAGAAAGTTTTTGTAATAGCTCCTTTTGTAGTATCTAACTTTGTTACTTATGATCTGGACAAGGATCGCTCTTATATTAAGTACTTACCTATGGATGCTTGCAATATGTTAGCAAGCCTAGGAAATCAAAGTGTCCTAAGTGACACTATTTTTGGCAATGTTATAACAAACTTTAGCTTCCTTAATATATGCTTTCCTATTTGCTCAAAAAACAAAAAAAAAATCGAATATTATACTATGTTAAGAATGTCTTTGAATTGGCTTACCCCAACACCTCCCATGTTCTCCATATTGAATTCTACTACATAGGTGTATCTTTTCTTTTTTTTTTCTTTGTTGTTGTTGTTGTACTTAGGTACTTATATTCCGAAAAAGAAGGTAAAAACTAACTTAAACTTGGAATGCACAGATAATACTTAGTATTATCAGTGAGTCATATTTATGAAAACCAAAACAAAAGAAAGAGACCACTTGGGGAATTGTCTTTGATAACGCAAATTCTAATTAGTCGGACCATTAAATTTCAAATACTAAAAGATTAAATTGAAAAAAAAAACATTCTCTTACTTGGGGCATATGTATTTCTTGGTTCTTGTGTAACTCAAATTAAACTTTCAACCATTGTTTGGTACTAAGGTCTTTAATTTATTAAGTAGAACAACTTCACTAGTATCTCTTTTCTACTTTTAAATTAAATATCCATGATTCCAAGCTACGGACACCATCTTATTAATTCAATAAACTTAAACAGATAATATTCCATCTAGAAATCAAACAAGAGATCAATATATACAAAATGCTCGTTAAGCCTCTAAACATCAACACACATCACATAACATGCACGCACTTCATAATATATAGCCATACACCAAATTAGAAACACTATTAACACTAAGACAAAAAAAAAAAAAAAAAAAAAAAAAAAAAAAAAAAAAAAAAAAAAAAAAACCAGTCTAGTGCACAAAGTATTCTGTGTTCACGTAGGGCCCGAAAAAGATCGCATTCCAAGGGGGTGCGATGCAGGCCATCTTATCCTAATTCAAGCATCAATGGATGATTCCACGACTTGAACCCGTAACCTATAGGTTACACCAAAATAACTTTACTGTTGCTCCAAGGCATCCATTCTATTAAACATTAAGAGAAAGTTGCAGTAATAACAATGGGCACTAGGATGACAAATGAAGCAGAGGCGGCCAACCTAGTCGACACGGAGCCCGACGGCGGAGGAGACAAATTGCCGCCAGGTGTCGCCGGAGATGAACCGGGGGAAGGGCTGCCGGAGGGCGAGTCAGCAGAAGTGACGTTGACCATTAATTTTTGACCCTGGTTACAGTGGATGGTACAAATGAAATAGTAGTCCCCAGTAGTATCGAGTGTGAATCTTGCTGGACCATTGGTTTCATCATCAATAGGATTTGCTGCGTTGCAGCTATCAAAATCATTTTTGTTTACTTTGGTTGCTGTGTGTACACCACTGTTGAAATTGAACTCTGCATATAATTGGCAATTTTACATATTAACATTTTGAAAATCTACTACGTAAAAAGTACTAAAGGTCACAGAGTTTTATATTCTAATTAAAAGTATATATAAAGAATCGTAAATAGAAAAGAAATTGAAGGTGACATACATTTATTTTATCATCTTCATTTTTGTAGGTTTAGACATGATAGTGCCATGATCTAAGCATCCAATATACAGAGTGGCCACATAATCAAGAGAATATTACGTTTATCTTAGGTGTTTAGACATGATAGCGCACTATTGCTCCTATTATAGATTATGTACTTTGTTTTTACTGAAATTTTATTAAATTTATTTTACAGAATTTTCGGATTTCCTTCGTTGGTTCCATGGACATACTATACTTGGAGAAAATTGGATATTAAAAAAATTGTATGATCAACTTTGTCTTTAGGCTGTTCTAAAATTTCCATCTTTTGGACATTCCTCTCCACCCAATAATTATAATAACTTTCTTATACAGCTGCTCATTGAAGAAAGGCCAAATAGCCCATCCAACTTGGCACCATTTTTCATTTTAGGCACTCTATCTCTATCTTGTTCCATTTTGTCCCTCCAACTCTATTTTATATGTTCAATTTTGGCCTTCCAACTCTATTTTTTATGTTCCACTTTAACACAAAAGCTAAAATCAGTGCAAAAAATAGCCCGTTAATGAGGTGTAATAAATATCCAATTAAATGTTGCCACCTGATTTTTGTATCCATGTCAAACGGGTCAATACTAAAATAACTGAACCCGCCCGTATTTTTTGTGGGTTTATTTCATCAAAACGGGCCAGGTATGAAATCGACATATGAAAGCTTTGGAACTTAGAGAATGAAGATGGGGCAACAGTGGATTAAAAAATACGATTGGATTCAGGTATTTTAATATTGACCAATTTGACATGGATAAAAAAACCAGATGGCACCATTTAATTGGATATTTATTACACCTCAGATTCAATGGGCTATATTTTTTGCACTGGTTTCGGCTTTTGTGTTAAAGTTAAACATAAGAAATAGAGTTGGAGGGCCAAAATGGAACAAGGTAAAGATAGAGTGCCAAAATAAAAAATGGTGCCAAGTTGAATAAACTGTATATGCCCATATTAAGATCAATGAGTACTAGCAGTGGCAGATGTATAAATATAAATATATATATATATATATATATATGTGTGTGTGAGAGAAAAAGAATTAACCTTTTATATATTAAGTAATTTATCAAAAGGGGTTTCGACCCCCTTCTGCCTATCTAGCTACGCCCCTGAGTACTAGCTTCAAGGAAATTAAGTAGGAAGACCCTTAATTAATTACCAATAGTGTCAATTACTTTGTTGTCCATAAGCCTAATAAACACTTTAGAAAAGAAAACAAGAATTTTTGTGTTTTATAAACTGAAGGTATATAAAATTTTAATATGATCATTTTACTTATAAGGTAAGTAATTATAAGTAAACCTCTTTAATAAGCATCAACACCCTGCCTTTTCTTCGACTTAGTATCTAGATCTTTATTTAGAGGGTGGTAGCCTATATCCTTTACCTTCCACTTTACCATTAGATGCTTTTCTAGCTTTTCGGAAGGGGTTTGGATCCTGTTGTCGAAGCTCATAATTCCAGGTAAAGTAAACCTCTTTAATAATCTGATAAAATTGGTAACTTTCATGCTATCACATGTTAAGCTACACTGATAACGAATTTTTATTTATTTATATTGTCAGTGTATATAATTTAAATAAAAATGAAGAAGAAAAGAGCAAAATTACAATAATAATTTTCATGAAAATAAATAAATATGCTTACCTAGAATATCCCCAACAACAAAGGTCTGTTGGTTAGCCCAGTTGGAGAAAGTAAGAGCACCAGCAGGAGGAGTCTGCCAACCAAAACTATCTCCAACTGTATATGTTCTTCCTACTGAAACCTCAAAAACACAAGCAAACATCAAACACACTAATAATAATTTGGCACATGAACCAAATTTTGTAGTCATTTCCATCTCACTTAACTTGTTATATGTTCAATGGATTAGGTCACCCCCTCAGTTTATAACTAATGGTTTAGATTAGTGTTGTGTTTTTGTTGGAAATAAATAGGGAAGAAGCCAAAGATAATGCCTAGCCTATGGGAGTAGTTGAGAGTTTTTGTTTAATAAATTTAAAAGTCGCAACTTAGGGCAGCCTAGTAGTCAATGAAATGGGTGATAACTTTAAGATGTCAGATTCAAATTCCTGCATAGGAAAATAACACTAGGTGGTTTCTTCCCATCAAAGTCTTGATGGATAGTGTTACCTGGTATCTGTTGCTAGCGGGAGATGATAAATATCCATTAAAATTATTCGAGGTGTGCATAAGCTGGTCCGACACCACTTTATAAAATAAAATAAAAAAATCAAAAGTCAGGTTTGAATTGTGGAAGGTAAAATTGTCACATCAATTGAGATAAGCATCTAGAAGTCAATGGTTTTTGATGATTAAAAACATTTCTTGTTTCATGCCGGTCGTATAAATTGTTACCTTAGCTAGTTTATTTTTATTTGTTTGAATTCTTTGGTTAGATAATATATTAATAGCAGATGGTGGACCAATTCTATATTTTAGTTTTTATAGTGAAATATTCAATATCATAAGGTTTTTGATAAATGTTATTTGCATGCTTTTGATTATGCGACTAGCCTACGACACTGTACACTTGATAATTTTATATATTTCGCATGAACTTATAGGAATATATTTTCAGAGTGTTTTGTTACAAGAAAGGCCTCCAGATGTTCATAGTAATAAAAATAATACTATATGTTCGCATGATCTAGAACTTTCTTTTAAGTATGTCATTTCTTCTTTGTGTGCTTTTATTTTTTATTTTTTTTTGGGGGTGGGGGAGGGGGGTGTATGGGTCCAAATTTGGTAACAACGGTAACGGATAAGCAAGACGAAGGACGGGGTCGGCCACAATATAACGACCGAAGGTCGTCCTCATAAAGGTCAACGCCAGAAGGGGACAGCTGAGACAGGACAATAAAGGCAACTTAGGTTCAGAAATGGACATAATGAATATTCATTTGGATATTCTCTATGCTGTATTTTTTAGAGTTTTTGGGGAATGCCCCTTATATATAGGAAGAGACAAAGAACAAGGGGGGATCTGCCTTTTTCGGAACTAGAACACTTTGTAAAAGTTGATAGAAGAACATACGAAAGAGTTATCTTATTCATTTTATTCAAGCACATGTTGTTCAATCTTTGTCCATAAATCTCGATATCCCATATTCATTTTGACCTCTTGTTTTTCCACGTTGTCGTAAGAGAAAGGGATCACTCAATCATACAATCATTGGGTTATAGTTCCTTTCCATTATAACCCTTATCATCTCGTATATTGATTACACATTTATGATATTACATATTTTGTCAATCATATAATTATTGGGTTACTAAACTCACTATTAAATGCTCCTAAACCCTACTCGTTATATAAGAGTTTTGTTTTATTTAGTCTAGAATTTATTAAGTTCAACTGAGATTCGACCTATTAACTTATTATTAATTAGTTTAGCATTTATTTGCTCAAACAATTTGGCGTCGTCTGTGGGAAGGTTTTAGTTGAAACTATAGTTCTTTCTAGATCATAAAAAAATAGCAGCCATCTCTCCCTCGTTTACACAAACTAACAATGGCAGGAAAAGGAGATGCGAGACTGAAAGCGATAGCAGGCGTCACAACCAACATTTTGACCACCATCAACGAAGATGGCAAGGAAGACGACGAGAACGTGACATCAAACGCTACACCCAGACGAAGAATTTCACCTCCCCCTCACGCAAGCGTGACAGCTCCACGCGAAAGGGGAGCCTCCACTTCTACAGTCGAAGAAGCACCACCAGTAGTGAAAAAATTACTAGAAGAGTGGCTGACGAGCACTCTAAACAATATACTCGATAGACCTGTTCAAAGGGAGAACAGAAACGCCGCGCAAGCAGATGTCATAACAACTACTGGCGAGCAGCCCCTTTCTTAAACATGTAACACTCACCCCACTGTTGATGCAGGTAATGATGCGCTCGCAGCTGTTCTAAAGAAAATGGAAGAAATGAAAAACGAAAATAAGGAGCTCCGCGACCAGATAAGGGAACACCAAGAAAGGGTCGATAAGATACGAGGCACCCCAAAGTTACTACCAAGACGAGACGTTGGTCGATTCGTCGAACAACTGTACAGCGAAGAAGCGGCTCCACACGCCATTCCCAAAACCTTCAAAATGCCACTGTACCTGAAGATATACGATGGTACTACAAACTCAGAAGATCACATCGTCCACTACGTCACAGTGGTGAAGGCAACAATCTTTTAAAGGAGCAAGTACCATCGGTGTTACTGAAAAAGTTCGGTGAAACCCTAACAGGGGGAGCCTTAACCTGGTATTCACAACTGCTGACGCGGTCGATAGCAACATTCGAGGAAATGGCTGACAAGTTCGTCACTGCCCATGCATGGGATAAAAAAGCGGAAGCCAGGGTAAATGACATATTCGCCATTAGGCAATCGCCTGGCGAGGGACTTAGGGACTTCCTCGCCAGGTTTAACAGGGTAAGAATGGGCCTACCAAATATATCAGAAGGGATGGCGGTAGCGCCCTTCCAGAACAGGTTGAGCAGGAACGGGTCGAGAGCAACTAGAAAAATATTAAGCAGGCTTATAAAATACCCTCCCACCACCTGGGAAGAAATCCACAATGCCTATTGCGCCGAAGTGAGAGACGATGAGGACGCTCTTAACAGTCTGACCCAACGGCTGACATCAGTTCAAGCAGAATCAAGGAAAGATCGTCGTTACGACAGTCGAAGGGATCAATCAGGCCCCCGTCTCAACCAAGAAAGACATCAACCCTATGTCAGGACAGCCGTCCCACCATCTCCTTGACATACGGAAGGGCCGCCCAGGCCGCACACAGGGACTCAGCGAAACAAAAAAGGTATGCCTCCACTCTTATCCGTTCACAATTTTTGTGTTTCCCCTTCATAAATAGTGTACGCACTAGAGAAACTCGGCAAGAAGGTGAAATGGCTGCAAAAGATGAAGTCCGACCCAAATACTCGGAAGTCAAACGTCCTTTGTGAATTTCACCAGGAGCGGGGTCATAAAACCGAGGACTGAATAGGTCTATGGCAAGAGGTAGTGAGAATGTTGAACCAAGGGCACCTGAGGGAACTGATGAGCGATCGTGGACGAGCCAACTTTTCCCGCGGGCGCAAACAACACCTGGGACCCCCAAAGCTACCCTCTCCTGTTCGCACCATCCAAATGATCATCAGTGGAGGCGATTGTCACACATCCTTTTTACCACCCCCGAAAGGGTATAAGGGAGTTTTTTCCAATTTGAGTGACAATCGAAATGGGATTATTTTATTTAGAATTCAGTGTCGCCACTTGGAATAATTTATGGTGTCCCAAGTCACCGGTTTAAACTCCCGAATCGAGGAAATTTGACTCATTTACGGTCTGCGAACACATAAATTCGGGTAAGGAATTCTGTTAACCCGGGAGAAGGTGTTAGGCACTCCCGAGTTCTGTGGTTCTAGCACGGTCGCTTTGATCACACTTGGCTTAAACAAATTGTTTGATTACCAATTTTAGAACCTATGTGCATTTGCCTCTTTTAGTTAAGAAATTATCTTGAAACGGGTCAGGCGTATGTGTACCCATTTGTTTGACTCGTCAAAATCATGTCACGCGAACGTATTCACAATTAATAATGCTTTGTTATTATTAAAAAAGTTTGGCCAAAGCCGCGCAAACGCATACTCCAGTTTTGTTTTTAGAATCGTGATTATGTCACACGAACGTGTACACAATCACAATTGTATTTTGAAACACGCGCCTAAAGGCTTTTCTACGAGTGTTCATTTTTAATAACTAGTGATAATATTTGTGAGGGCCATGGTGGTATAATTAAAATGGCACACCTCACTCCATTTTTAAGAATCATACTTAATTAAGGATACTTGTATTTGCAAATGATTCGAACTTAATAGAGTTATTAGTTGTAAACAGATTGGGCAATGAGTTATTTCAAGTAAATGGGTTAGCATACAAGTCCCTTGAGCCATTAAAATCAGATGACCATGATTACTGAAAAAACGACAAGAGAACTAGGCCTTGGAAGTGAATCCAGAAATGAAGAAAAGGGGGGCTTGAGATACACGAGCCTGGTTTGGGCCAGGCAGCCTCATTTGTGCCGTTTAATAGGCCTGGCCGTTTTTAAGGGATGTCATTCAACATCTTTCTCATTTGGAATACCTTTTTCTGCAATCCCTCCCCTTATTGATATGCCATGACTAATTCAAACACTAATCTAAATTAATCTAAACCAATTTCATCAAAGCAAATAGAAGATGTTCATCAACTAATTTAGATCCAAACTACAGAAAATTTAAGCACTATATACTCAACAAATTGCAAGCCATATGCACTTGAAAATTGAAACTACTACTAGCTATTGTTGAACTCACATATGTAATGATTCTAACTGTATGGAAACTCCAGACATTTAGATTAAATATTACAATGGCAACAATGGCTCTTAAACACATTCAGTTACTTAAATTCAATAGCCAAAATAGCGAAATTATGATATGAAGTTAACCCTGGACTGAACATCACTACTAACCTAAACAAATTTAAATAAAATCAAACAGGAGATGTTCCTCATCTAAACTAAATCCATACTACAACAGCCAAGCACTATATACTCAACGGAAAGAGTTTTTAGTCAAACCAAAACCAACATGACAAGCTAAAGTCCAAATCCAACCTTAAAATGAAATATAACATCAATAGCATAAATGAATATAGGAAACCATACAGTAAAGCTAATTAATACAGAAATATGGATAGACTCTAAAGAACATAAGCTAATACTCATCAAAGCTAATATTTATCCTTAAATCTCCAACTCGATTACATGCTTCAGATTTGCACTTCACATATCATTAGGATCCAAGAAGTACCTGAAGGTAAAAATAAAGCAAAAGAAGGTGAGGATTTCAGTAATAGCAGAAGAATGAGTAGATCGGC